CCCCAACATGAATTAAAGGAGGAAAAGTTTATTTTGCTCAATTTCAGAGGTACCAGCCTGTGGTCAGCTGACTATGACAGAACAACATAGCACAAGGGCATGGGGGTGATCTGAAATGTCTCCCCAAAACTGCATGTCCTATCCCTGCAGGGGCTACCTCTCTAGGACTGATATGTATGGAATACTCTGAATCCAGAGACCCCCAAAGAAGTCTCCTCAGGGTTTCTCATACCTGGCTGGTTCCACTGGCATATTCTTGCTAAGTAATCAGCCTCAATAGTAGAGCCCTGGGAGCTCACGCAGGGAGATCAGGCGCAAGTCATCCTGCTCACTGGTAACAATAAACAATGCTAAAAGCTAGAATGCTTTCTTATGAAACAGTACTCTTTACTGTTACATTTCATGCCTCAATCCAGGGTCAGTGTCTTGCAAGTTCACAAGCAAGAGAACTCAGGGCAATTCTAGCCCTTCTGGAATTAACCCTCAGCATAGGCAGCACCTGACCCCTCCCCAATGATGACCAACTTTTTTTAAAAGATCAAATGATAACTTTCGGTTCCACAGCAACTACAGTACTTGCCTTACAGTGTCACCTAATCACTTAGAAAATCAAAGTGCACTGAATTTCAAACATCCTTAGTAACAGATAAGGAGTTGGTATGATTTAAACAGTTGAATAACCCAGTGACACTAGCACAAAATACACAAATGATCTCATATTTTGGATCAAAAATAAAATTATCATTCATCAAGTTTAAATATTCTTTAAGCCAATTTCCTTAATGTTAGTTTTAATTCAACATCACCACACATTTGATCAATTACCTCATTATTACAATTTTATATTAGCTTCTGCAATATTAAATTTACCTATGATTTCTGCCTTTTCATAGTGTTGCATCGTGTCGTATGTGGCATACACATAGTAATAAATAGCATAAAACAAAACAGACACAATCGCCTATCATTGCTTTCTCCTGCCCTACAAAAAAACCATCTTCCTCATGGAAGTATAATTAGAGCTGGTGTCTCTGCCATTTCAGGATTCTAACTTTCTAGTTACCACAGCCAAATTTCTTCTCTCTGGTTCATGATTTGACAGAGAGCTTCCCCGTGAGCCATATCTATAGCAGGGTTACTTATTCTCCATCAGAAGTCCTCCTGGCCTGTTTTAAATTTGTTCAGCGTCCCTAAGTTATAGGCAAGGAGTGGCTGGGATTGTTGTGGCATTAAAGTTATTTTATTTCCTTTTTTTTTTTTTTTTCTTTTTTGGCGGAATCAGGGATTGAACTCAGGTCCTTGCGCTTGACAGGCAAGCGCTTATCTACTGAGCCATCTCCCTGGCCCCTAAAGTTATTTTTAAAAAAACCTCAATTGGAGCATATTCCCTAATCGTAGTTTTATGTGGGCGGGGTAACCCGTGAGAGCCTACGCTCTGTGTCTGCTTCAAGATTCCTCGGCCATCCTGCCCGGAGCCGTTAAGACTGCGGTACCTAACACAGCTCTGCTGACAAGCAAGCCTATTCTTAGCAGTTGGTTTCCCAGCCACTGTGGAGAGAGGTGGCGGAAGAGCCCTGCCTAGCAGGAGCATGAGGGGGTGACGGCTCCAGTTTGGAAAACCGCCCTAGGGTGAGGGGCCGTATGCATGGTGGGGAGAGGTGGCCGGGGTCAGTGCAGCACGTCGGTTCCCACTGTCAGAGGGAAAGAGTAGGGCTGGGCCGGTCTGTCTGTCTGTCTGTCTGTCTGTCTGTCTGTCTGTCTGTCTGTCTGCCTTCCTTCCTTTCCTTCCTGTCTTATCTTGGCCTGCCAAGTGGCAGGTAGGAATCCCCCAAAGTTACTCATGAGCAGAAGTTTCTTTTGCTCATGGCTCAAAAAGAGGGAGGGGATGCGCTGGTGAGAATCTTAGCTGGAATCTTATTTCTCTGTGGAAACTGTATCATTCTGCTGGTAAATTTCAGGCTGAAAAAGCTGTAGATTCTGAAATCAGAATCAGAATTGTTTTGTCACTACCAAGATCTGATTCTTGCTTTTAAGTGATATTTAACAAATGCATAGATATTAGCTGAAATTATTCAATAAGAATTCCAGGCTCCAGTTATAGTTAGCAAGTGGGAAAGAACAGTTCTAGTTCCATGGAAACTATGAAGGGCACAATGTAACCAGTTCTTTTCTTCTCTTACTTCAATCAGTTACAGATGAAATCATTGTAGAATCGAATATAATAATGTCTTTATTATTTAATCAACTAAATAGAGTCTGTATGGATGAATGTGGATGAAGAAATGTTTTTATATAATTTTTCAGTACAGTTCTATTTATAAAACATAAGTGGGCAAAATTGACACCATTTTAGATGTCAGCACAGTGCTTACCTGTTGGGCTAGAAAAGGTACATGTTGACATGCTTGGTGATAGGGGTTGGTTCCCTGCGGTAAAATTCATCTATATATTCTTTTTTTTTTTTTGCACCAGGGATTGAACTCAGGACCTTGTTCTTGCCAGGCAGGTGCTTAAGCCATTGAACTATCTCCCCGGCTTATCCATACCTTCTTAAGATTTGTAGACTGGTGGATGTGTCTCATACTTAAACAGAAAATAACAAAATGAAACAAAACATAACTTTGCCCACTTACAACTTACAGGCAATCAGGAGAGAGAAAATTTGTGTTTGTGTTACTCTCCACTTTGTACAGGTCCTCTTCCCACATCTGCTCCTAAGCTTGCTTGCATTTATTTATTTATTTATTTATTTGGAACTGGGGATTGAACTCAGACCCTTGCGCTTGCCAGGGAAGTGCTTATTCTACTGAACCATCTCCCTGGCCCCAAGGCTTTTATTTTATTACTACCTAGAACAATTCTGTTTGATGTTCCTCTTGCAGTTTTCATGTTTCTTGTGCTTAGGGATCTTTGAACTTCTTGGTTTATAATTTACATCACAGTTGCAATGATCCTGGCCATTAATTCTTTGTTGTTGTTGTTGTTGTTGTTTGTTTGAGGCAGGGCCTAGATATGTAGTCCAGGCTGGCTTTGAACTAACTCTCTAGCTCAGGCTGAACTTCAACCCATGGTGCCCCTCCTGCCTCAGCCACCTGCGTGCAGGGGACTGCAGGACTGTGCCCACACCTGGCTGGGCACAGACTCTTGAAATACTTTCCTTTTTAAGGTGCAGGATACCGCTGTTCAATCCCCAGCTCCACGTGCCTTACCAGACCTTAAAGCAGCCTGAACCAGCCCCCCTACCCAAAAAGAAAAAAAATCGTCAACTCAGGCCAGAGAGATAGCTCAGTAGAAAAAGTGCTTGCCTGGCAAGTGCATGGTCCTGAGTTCAATCCCTGGTAAAAAAAAAAAAAAAAAAAAAAAACCACGTTTCCTCTCTTTTCTCTCTCCCTCAGAGATTCCTGTTCAATGCAGAGGTCACTTGGATTTGTTTTGTAGCTGAGTGAAATGCTCTGCTAAATTCTTTGAATTCTCTTTTATCTGTGAGTTTCATTTTGAGTGTCTTATATTTCAATCCACTAATCTTTCTGCAATGTCTGATTTGCAGTTATTTCTATATTTTTAGTTAAGACACTCCCGTTATCATTTCTAGGAGTTTTGTTTGGGTCTTTAAAAAGTAACTTCCATTATTTTTTGAAAATATGGAATGCATTGATAACTATTTTAATGCCTTTTCAAATGCTTTAATCTGTGTCGATATTAAATTACTTTTGATTGATGGACTTTTCTCCCCATTAATGGGTCCTATTTGCCTGCTTCTAGACACATCTAGCCATTAGACTGTAAATTTTACTTTGGTGAGTTTTGTACACTTGATCTACAAATATTCTTTTAAAATTTTGATCTTTTGTGAGTATGCTTTTGCGGTCCATGATTATATTCCTCCTGGGGAGTTGGCACATGTCCATAACACATCTTCTTTTTTTTAAATCCTATCTCCCTCTCCCTCCCTCCTGCCCCATGCCTTGGTCAATATTCTTGAGTTGTGTTTAGGGCTGTATATAATTACTTGGAAATGGTTTGATTCTTTTAGGTTTTGCTTTAGAAGTTGTTAGGTGGGACCATGAAGGACGCAGTTCAGGAGTACTTACCCCTGCTGCCGAGGCACGGCCTTGTGCGTGGAATGCCCAGCTCTCCCTGGTTACAGTTCTTCCAGCTGGCTGGAGGACGCAGGCGCTGTGCAGCCAGCCCCTGCAGCCCTGGCTCCTGTTCTTGCTCGTTTGCCCACATGGTTCTTTTCTCTGCCTGAGGATGTTTTCTCTACACAGAGCTGATCCATGCTCCTTGGCAGACCGGAGGGGCTCTCTGTGCACCTCTGGAGTCTTAGAGTGTTGCTGCGCCCAGAGATCTCTCTGCTCCTCTAGGCTCTCAGCACCCTGTTTTCACCCCAGGGAGTCTGCAAGGTCTGCTGAGGTGTCCCCTCCGTGCCCATGGAAACTCTTAGGGCAGTGAGCTGGGATGTCCTGGTTCTCCTTGCTTCCCTCCTTCTTTCTCCTAGAGATCACTGTCCCCATTGCCTCAGACCAGTGCCTTGAAAAGTGCTGCCCAGCTTTTTTGGTTTCAGAGGGGACAGTGAAATTCAGCCCCTGTCCCCACATCATGTCCAGAAAAGAATCCTTCACTGGGTGGGAATTAATGTCCAAAATGAATTTCACTGGGGCCCAACTTAGAGCCCATTCAGCTTAACAATTATATTTCATAGATAGTATGTAATATTGCTCTATTGCTGGGAGATGGGTGATAAATCGTATTAAATTTATAAGGTAAAACGTTTCACTGCTTTTTAAAAAAAGTTCTCTCTCAGTGTCAGCTAAAAGGAAACTTTTACCACAAGTTAACTTTTATCAAGAATCAGGAAGTGCCATGAGATCAGCATGAGATTCAGAAAGTGTTGTTCTGAGTGGAAGGCTATATACTGGGCATCTGCTTAGACAGCACACAATTGTCAGAATTTTCTGCAGGAGAAATTGGCTGCTTAGACTTCTCTGTCCTTTGATGCGATGTCAGGGTATAACAATACCTTAACACAAGCTACTAAAATCACTTTGACATTTTTGATGTCCTTACTAGCTATTGCTATCATGTTAGGAAATGCCGTGGTCATTTTAGCTTTTGTTGTGGACAGAAATCTTAGACATCGAAGTAATTATTTTTTTCTTAACTTGGCCATTGCGGACTTCTTAGTGGGTAAGTTGCATGCTTTTATTTTAAATAATCTTTTGTAATAATAATTGTCTTTAAAGCCTTAAATTAAGCTCTTGTTGTGTCAGGAGGCTATAGGAGGTTGGGGGGGATTAAACAAAAAGAATTACAACTCTGGTAAGAGGTTTATATGGCACTCTAAGAGAATACTATAGATATATAAATAAATGTGATAGAATGTTCATCTGAAAAGTTTATATTTTATAGAATAAAGTAGATCTAGAGTAGTTGTAAAATTGTTTTAGTATAAGAGTTGTTTCTGGAGCTATTTTTCTTATATGCTTAGATTTTCTTTTTATTTTATTTTATTTTATTTTTTATTTAGTACAGGGTCTACGGGGTCTCACTAGGTAGATCGGACTCCATAGTGACTCTCCTGTTTACAGCCTCCCAAGCGCTGGGATTACAGGTGTGCGCCACCACGCTCAGTCTCAATTGCATCTTTATGTGCCCCGGGGGCGGGGCTGGCACGGCAGGCCCAGGGATTGAACCCCCAGCCCCTGTGTCTGCATAAGCGGGTGCTTTAATCTGCTGAGCTATTTGGCTGGCCCTTATGTTTAGATTTATAAATATTCATCTCTAAGTAAATATATTTATTTAACTTGATAAAATAAATTTTACTTGATAAAATTTCCTTGATATCATAGATTTGGGCGAGAGAAATAATGTATGTGCTGGAGACCAGCACAACTAAAAATGGGCTATTCAAGTCCATTAAATAGGATGGTTAACAGTGTTATTTTGTGACATAGCACCAGATGTCATGAAGTATATCCAGTACTAACTTCCCTGTACATGTCATGGCGTTGTGTAATAGTCAGAGCCCATAGAAATCAAATTAATCTTTCTTTGAAAAGATGTTCTCTGTAACTTTTCACGCCCTGAATCTTTCCATTTTTATTTTATTTATTTATTTATTTATTTTTGCAGAACTGGGGATTGAACTCAGGCCCTTGCGCTTGCCAGGCAAGCGCTTATTCCACTGAGCCATCTCCCCAGCCCCAAGCTTTCCATTTTTATACAATGCTCATAACAAACATAAGTGCAGAATTGTCAGCTGGATGATGGTGCTTTATTGAAGCTTCCAGTATAATTGCATTTGACATGTTTGGATTTTTTTTTATTATTATTTATAGCTCTGTAAAGCTTGTATTCACATTAAAGCGAAACAAAACTTGTAGAATAGTTAATTGCCTAGAATGTAGTGGTTGCTCAACAAATGTTAGTTTCCTTCTCCTTTGATTTCTTTGCTGATATGCATCAATGAAACCAAACATATAAATGTTAGTGTAGAATGCAGGTCATGTGGATACTGTTAGACACACGCGTATTCAGATCATCGGAGATCTGTGGATGTGCACATTACTACTGCATCTTTGGTAAAGTCTTACTGCAGCACAGTGGAAAAGAGAAGTTTGCAAATGACTGCAGTGGCACAGAGCACAGAGTGCCCAAGAGGACCACCAGGTGCTGTGGGCTGCGCGAAGCACAGAGTGCCCTTGGAAGTGGGTCCCTGAAGCCCGGGTAGCATTTCCGCAGGCAGAGATGGCAAGGCGGGCAGCGCCGTGCTGGCAGAATGGTGGTGCCGCTCTTCTTCAGGGTGAGCCCCAGGCCGCTTGGGGCACAATGGCTGGTTGGGGTGAGGTTGGCCTCTGTGTGATGAGGTTCTTGCATGGCAGTGTCGGTCTGGACTGGAGCTTACTAAGCAGAGTTAAGGGTTTGAAAGCAGACCAGTAAGTAGATGGACAGAGGCTTTCCCTTGGCGACTCAGGGAGAGCTGGAGGAGGCGGGGAGGCTGAAGAGCCCTGCTGCATGGTTCCGAGGCCGAGGGCAGCAATCCGGGCAGAGGTCCTGTGGGCAGGCTCCAAGCTAAGGCAAGGTGGGAAGGTGGGGCAGCAAGCAGAGCTGCAGAGGGCGGTTGGGCAGGGAAAAGAAAGCTGAGGAAAAGATAGGGCTCCTGGGGGGGGAACTACCTGCTCGGGCGCCCCCTCCTGTCCCTCTCTTGGGACAGGAGCTTTTTTTCTTTCAATAAATATATTCTGCTCAAAAAAAAAAAAAAAAAAAAAAGATGGGGCTCCTGGGACAAGGAGAGTTACGGCACTCCATTGAAATACGGGCCTTGGGGAGGAGGACAGCTTGCTGCTGCCGCTGCCTGAAAGTCCTGGGGGAAGTGTCTGCCTGGAGAGACCGATTTAGGAGCCATGGCATAGAAAGGACAGTGTCACAGGGAAAGAGGGCTAAGCAGTGCTGAAAAGCTCTCTCTCTCTGGGGGCGCAGTTCTTCCCTTCCTGGGTAGAGCTGGCGGGGTGTACTTGTGCACAGAGGGCAAGTGCTCAGGGGTAGAGGACTGCGCGCCACGGAGCAGGGGTGCAAGAGATGAGGGGCAGGAGGGGCCTGGGGATGCATGAGGGAGGGGCTGGCTTGGTGGAGCAAATTGGCTGCTCTTGCAGGGCTCTTCTTGTTCCCTGTCCCTTTCCTCATTCCCCTATTCTTCATGTCCTTGGCTCTCCTCTTCACCACCTCAACATAGATAGATAGACAGACAGACAGACAGACAGACAGACAGACAGACAGACAGAGTCTCACTACATAGTTCAGGCTGGCCTTGAACTCACTGTGTAGCTCAGGATGGCTTCGAACACATGGCAGTGCTCCTGCCTCAGCCTCCCCAGGGCTGGGATTATAGACCCAGCTATTATAGTTCATTTTTTCCCTTAAAATAGCCAGCTGTATCAAAAGCTTATTGCTTTCTTAAAGGAACTGGCCTTAGCTTTTCCGACCAAGTCCACTTCTGGAAGAAGACACAGTTTCAGAGCCGGAGTTGTGCGCACACTTCCGAGGAGGTGCAGCAGAGCAATAGTTGAGATTCAGTTTTCTGAAATCCTTGGGAATGAACCACAAACATCACCATCATTCCCTGGAGGGAGGAAGGGAGAACACACTTGTACTTGAACTCACTGTGTAGCTCAGGATGGCTTCGAACACATGGCAGTGCTCCTGCCTCAGCCTCCCCAGGGCTGGGATTATAGAGCCATTGCGGAGCCTGAGGGGATAGTAGGGTTTTATCAAAGCTAGAGGAACAGACTAGAGCAGCGATGGAGCACTGTCAGAGCCCTGAGTGACACAGGCGGCCTGCTGTGGCCCTTGTGCTGTAGGTTTGCCACTGCTAGGCTAGAGACTGGTTTTTCTAGCAGCTGTCAGGGTTTTGAACACGCCCTTCCTCTTTCTTATCATTTGGAAAGTGTGTGGAAAGGAGTGCTTACCTCAGATTCCTCCTTTAGCTTTAAGTCAGCAGTGTCTGCAGCGAAATGATTACTGGCATCTGAGGCGGGCACGAGGGCAGCTGTGGAAAACCTGCGAGTTGGAACGCGGGGAATTGAAATACGGGCCAAAGAGGGTGTCTGTGGTTTTGAGGTATTTTGATTTACAAATGTCTTTGTTTTTGAGAAGCTTTGATTTATTTCAGGCAAAGCTTTTGTGTGTGTACACACACACACACACACACACACACACACATCCTCTGATGGGATGAAAAAACACCATTAAAAAGCTTATGTATCATTTTAGATAGGACTGCAGGTGGGTGTGGTGGCGCACACCTGTAATCCCAGCAGTAGGGAGGCTGAGGCAGGAGGATCATGGTGAATTTGAGGCCAGCCTGGGTACATAGTGACACTCTGTCTCATGAAAACCAACAACAACAACTGAACCATGACGGGCAGGTTCTTTGGACCACCGGTAAGCGCCGAGCTTGTGGCTCCCCATTTCCACCATGTTCTGTCTCCCGCCTCTGTCCATGAACCCAGGCAGGATTATTCCAGTTCTCCTTCCCACCCGCTGGCTCCCTTCCTCTCGTTTGGGAAGACTGTAGGACTTTTTTCCTTATTTTCCATTCTTTCATCTTACTGTTGCTCTTCAAGATAGGCCAACTTGGTTTGCACACCAAACAAATGAGAATTTCTGTAAGTCCTTTATGAGCTATGATGATAATCAGCAAAGTCAGATTTCCACTGAGATTTCGCCCCCTCAACCACATTCTGAGCAAGCAGTGACACCTTTCTGAAATTTCAGTGCAGTTAAAAGCCCCAGCTCAGTCTTTTCACAGGTCGGCACCTTCTGAGCCAGGCCTCATTGCTGCGGAGAGGTTACCTATGTGCTCTTAGTGCAGGGTTGTGGTTGGTGTCAGGGTTTTTAAAATTATATTTCCTGATTTAGAAGCCAGGCTTTCTTTCTACCTAGCTGAGTAGCTAACTAATGCACTAGCTCCTTTCTGCGAGTTAGGCTCTTTACCTGTCAAGCCAGGCTCACGTGGTTTGCATGAAGATTAAATGAGGTGATTGTTGGTAATGCACGGGGCACGTTGCCTACCCCAGGTCGCTGCACCGGGCACGTCAGCTGTCATGGAGGCCAGTGCGCAGGCCCTGGTGCAGGTCAGGCTGGGTGCGTAGGAGCCTAGCACTGATCTTTGACATGGTGCTAATCCTCGGGGAAAGCTGATTAACTGATGATTATGATACAGTGTGGAATCCGCTTAGTCCCCTGTGAAGAGAAAAGAGTGGCCAAGTGCTGGAAGGGTGCAGGTGGCCTAGGGGTCCCTTCTTCTTGACAATTAATTTTATTGGTACAATTTAGATATACATAGCAATCACATTCAGCATTGGGAATTTGTATCTGTATGTGATATATTTGATTCTTCATGTTCCCCTAACCCTTTCTTCTCCCTTCAGAGGGATTGATATAGAAGAAAGAAACTTCTAACCTGCTAGATATCTGGTTTAAGTTCTGTTATTTATTTTATTTATTATTATTATTATTATTATTATTATTTTAGTTTGTGTTATTTTAAATGGAAGCATGAAAAGGCCAGCCAAATGGCTCAGCTTATTCAAGCACCTGGAAGCAGGTGCAGGGGCCAGGGGTTTGATCCCTGGGCCTGCTGTGCCAGCCCCGCCCCCAGGGCATGCTGAGAGGCAATTGGGACTGGGCGTGGTAGCAGGCACCTGTAATCGCAGCCCTTGGCAGGCTGTAAACAGGTGGATCACTGCGAGTCCAATCTAGCAGTGAGACCCTGAATACCCTGTAGACCTTTCCCTAAAATACAAAAAATAAATAATAATAATAATAATACTATAAATTGAAGAATGAACCTTAGGAACAAAGGAGGTTAGGAGTGCAATATATTCACTGGGGGAAAGAAAGCTTCTGTCTGAGAGAGAGAAGGGGCCCCAAGTGGGTTGCTGAGGACTCTGCCTTTTCCAGGGATGTTATAGAGCATTCTACAAAGCAAGGTGGACACAAAGTGGGGAAAATGGAAAATCACATGGTGGGGTGAGGTGGGGCAAAACTGTGGTCAACCAATAGGATTATGAGTATGACTGCCCAGGTAAAGTTGATTAAGTCAGAAGCAAATGGGGGAGCGAGTCATGTAGCAAGCAGGCATGAATACAGAACAGAGGCTTTTCCTATCGAGGTTGGTTAGTGGCTCTTCTTGACTTTCTCAAGGTGATGGTGCCTGTCTAGACTATTGGTTCCTGATATGTATCCTTGGGGAGTGTGTGGGCGCCTTTGTTCTATCTTTTATCTTGAGGTCTGGCCCACAGTAGAAGTGCCTGTCTCTCCCACAGTTGTAAGGTCTGTCGTCTTCTGCTGGCTGGCCTAGCCCTAGCTAACTGCCTATAACATTTTATCTAACTTGGCTTCCTATAGCAGGCTCACTTCTTCCAAGGAAGTTCTGAGAAAGATACAGGGAGGAAGTTACTCTTTGACTTTAGGGAAGAGTGACAAGGAAGTAAATGTGCTCTCTCTCTCTCTCTCTCTCTCTCTCTCTTTCTCACACACACACACACACACACACACACTCATAGAAGATATTCTCAAGTGTGAAGTAGGCTGTTAAGATTCCAGTTACATAAGAGGCTGATTCAGGAGGGTGGCAAGTTAAAGGCCAGCCTGGGCATATGACTGAGACCCTGTATCAAAACACAATGATAAAAAGAAAAAAGGAGATGTTGGGCAGGTATGCTCATCATTACCTGGGTTTAGTCCCCAGTACTAAACAAACAAACAAACAAACAAACAACAACAACAACAAAAATGAATGAAGTTAGCACAGAGAAAGATACTAGAACGTGGATGTGTTTGGGGAAGGGGAGCCCAGCCAGACTGCATAAATCATGGAGATACAGAAGTGGTTCATGTTGTCTGTGGCTAGAAGTAGTGGCCAGGACCACACATAACTTGGAAAGTGCTAAGGCCCATTGTCCATTGTTATAAAATCGACACTTAGTGTGTGCCATGCTGGCCCTGCCCTGGGTGCTCTGAGACAGTGATTGAGACTGGTCATGGTGGTGCGTGTCTGTAATTCCAGTGCTTGGGAGGTTGGAAACAGGAGGATCACTATGAGTCTGATCTACGTAGTGAGATCCTGTAGACCCTGTACCAAATACATTTAAATAAAATACACTTAAAGAATGTATAGGACACTAGTCCTGGACTGCTGGATGAAATAACATAAATTTTTATATATAACTGTGTTAGTCAGCTTTGCATTACTACACCAAAACATCAGAAGCAATTAACTTTGTAAAAAGAAAAGGTCTATGTTGCTCACAGTTTGGAGATTATTGGCAGTCATTATGCATGCCTCTGATGAAAGGGATGGAGGGGGCAATGGTGGGAGCAGATGTCGGAGTTAGCGCTCACATCTAGACCCAGGATGGAGAGACCCTGAGGGGCTGTGGTCCCTTGGTCCCTTCAAGGTCATGCACCCAGTATCCCAAGGACCTCCAACTTCCCACCTCCTGCAGGTCCAAAGCGTCTCCCCATCCCCTCACTTTGAAGACCAAAGTTTCATGTATGTATCTTTGGGGGACATTTATCAAAATCACAGCAACATCAAGCCATTTTTAGTATATTCATTACGCTGTCTGTCCATTAGAGTATGTCCCTTTGTATCCATTGATGGGTGCAATTTTCCCTCTCTGTGCAGGTGCGGTCTCAATTCCTCTGTACATGCCTTCCTCGCTGACTGCCTGGACTTCTGGAAGGGAAGCGTGTGTATTTTGGCTCATCACTGACTATCTTGTATGTACAGCGTCTGTGTATAACGTCGTCCTCATCAGCTATGATCGATACCAGTCAGTCTCAGATGCTGTAAGTCGCAGTCCTATTTTCCTTGAATGATTATATGGATGTACTGTAAATTTTGTCACCTTCTACCCCTTTGGTACTGGGGATGAAACTCAGGGATTTATGCATGCATATGTTTTGCCACTAGCTGCATCCCCATCCCAACCACAACAAAAAATTGGGTTCAATCTTTCCTTAATAGAGAAATCTTAGTAGAATCCCATCCTTCTGTTATCAGGTACAAAATTCTCATTGACCTTCCTGTGATTTGGGAAAGTCATTCCCTTATGAGCCAAGGAAATGGGACGCTACCAAAGGAAACTCAGGAGTGATGTCCTGAGTGTTTAGTAGGTTGGATATAGTGAAGTTGGTAGTAACTTCTCAGTTCCACTCTGTCGACAAAATTGAGACCTATGTATTTTTCAAAGGATGGTACTTGGTAAGGAAAAAGAGTCACAGATTTTTGAATGGAATGAAAAAATTAATTCTGAGTGGCCAGAGGAGATGACCAGTGGTACAGTGGGGCCAGCCGGAAAGACCCAGTCTCCAGGCTAATTGAAAGCCTCTGGCAAGAAGATCAGAACTCTGTCAAAGTCTGGAATAGTTTCATGAGTGAGTCAGTAAGAATGCTTCAGCAAGATAAATTCTCAGAAACAGGACATTGGAGAAAACAAAGAACACTGACTAGCTGGATAGGAGAGGAGGGCACAGACACATGGGACAGCGATCTGAAGTACTCGGGAAGCTTCCATCACTTCTGACTCTCAGGGGCCCAGATCTTTGGGGAATTACTGTGTACAGGTATTGTGCTAAGTTCAAGGATAGAAAAGGGACTAAGCAGGACTTTATTTGGGGGGATATGGTCAAACAGGAGATCCTCAAACAGGAGGCTAAGTGCTATGCTGGAAGTATCCTGGGGTGAGTCCCGCCTTGGAGGACTGTGTGTTCTGGAAGCCAGCAGGATGGGAGGAGACAGTGGATGAGGTCAAGGACAAAAGCCTGGAGCAAAGAGAGTCCCAAGAGGCCCCAGTGGGACGGAAGTTCTGTCTATCCTAGGAAAGAGGGAAGGTTGTGCTCCCCAAACTCGCCCAGGGACCCACTCACAGGGAGCTCTGCACTCTCTAGGGCAGGGGCTAGCCAACTTTTGCTACCCTACGTCAGATAGTAAATGTTTTGTCTTGCAGTGCACATGGTCTTGGTTGTAGCCTCACATTGCATAAAACAACCCTAAATGACACATGAATAATAAAAGTCTTCAGGAATGTTCCAGTAAAACTATTTCTAAAACCAAGTAGTGGGCTGTGTTCACTCCTTGGACAGCAGTTTGCTTGCCCCTCTGTAGGTCATTATCCTCCGCATGATGGCAGGTTTTGGCTACTCTGGGTCCCAGATAGGAAGTGGGAAGGATAGAAGTCCAAGGCAAGGGAATTTCTTTGAACCAGGCAGTGCAGAATCATGCTACCATTTCCACTTACATTGTGTTGGTAGGACTTAATCATCCCTCCCACCTTGTTGCAAAGGAAGCTGGGAAATGTAGTTTCTGGCTGAGCGGCCATTTGGCCAGGAGGAGGGGTACAGTGGTGTGATGGGACAGCACCCTAACTCTTCTGCTGCCACTGGGAACCTCACTGGTGCCAGGTCCACTGAAGTTCGTGTTAGTCAAACTATGGAGAAGTGCGTATCATTTGGGATTAACAATTCATATAAAGCAATCTTGTATTTCCCAGACTGCTGACTTCTACCCATTATTTGAGTCATGAAATCAGTTTCAGTGGGTTGTGATTAGATTTTTTTTTTAATGAAAAAATATGGAATGGAGCAGAATAGAACAGAAAGAGTGTGGGAAAAGTCAAAGTCCCTTGTACGTCATGAAAGTGATTACTGTTTTTTTTTTGTCTATGTACTTAATTAGGGTAGGAAATAGGTCTCTTGCTTTAGATCCAGTTAAGTGCTTTAAACAAGCATATTTCCCATTTATACTTTAAAATTTTCCTATCTTAGGCCGGGGAATAGAGCTCAGTGGCATTAGTGGCATTGCTTGACAAGCTTATGGTCACAAACTCAATCCCTGGTAGAACAATCAGACAAACAAGCAAACAACTCCAGTAATGATATTTTAAAAGCCAGGCATGGTGGCGCATGCTGGCAATCTCAGCATTCAGGAGGCTGAGGCAGGAAGGATGGTTGCAAGTTTGAGACTAGCCTGGGCTACCAAGTGAGTTCAAGGCTAGCCTGAATTGCATAGTGAGACTCTGTCTCAAAAAATCAAAATCTTGCAAGATGGCGGGTGAAAAAATGAGAACCCGGACATTAAAGAGAAGAAACCTGAAGCCCAGAAGGCTTCTCCAGTGGTACTGGTAAAAAGGGGAAGGTGAAGGCAAAAAAGTCCAAGAAGGGGCAGCCCCACTGCAGCCAAAATCCTGTCCTGGCTAGAGGAATTGGTAGATACTCCCGATCTGCTGTGTATTCCAGAAAGGCTTTGTACAAGAGGAAGTACACAGCTGCTAAATCAAAGGTTGAGAAGAAAAAGAAGGAAAAAGTTCTTGCTGTGATCACAAAACCAGTTGGTAGGGACAAGAATGGAGGTACCTGGGTGGATAAGCTTTGAAAAATGCCAAGATACTGCCCTACTGAAGATGTGCCCTGAAAGCTCTTGAGCCACGGCAAGAAACCCTTCAGTCAGCATGTGCGGAAACTTGGAGCTAGCATCACTCCCGGCACCATCTGGATCATCCTCACCGGGCGTCACAGAGGCAAGAGAGTGGTCTTCCTGAAGCAGTTGGCCAGTGGCTTGCTGCTTGTGACTGGGCCTCTTAGCCTGAATCGTGTTCCTCAACGAAGAACACACCAGAAATTTGTCATGGCCACCTCTACAAAAATTGATATCAGCAAAGTGAAAATCCACAAATTACTTTAGGAAGAAGTTGCAGAAACCCAGACACCAGGAGGGTGAGATCTTCAACACTGAGAAAGAGAGATACCAGATTTCAGAGCAGTGCAAGGTGGACTCACAGAGTTTAGCAAAAATCAAAGCTGGTCCTCAGCTCCAGGGCTACCTGTGATCTATTTTTGCTCTTTCAAATGGAAATTATTCTCATAAATTAGTGCTCTAAATTTCTTACTAACAGCCTAATTAAATAACTCATATATTTTTAAAAGACAAAACAAGCAAGCAAACCAAAAAAAAAAAAAAAAAGAAGAAGAAGAAAAAGAAATTTCCTATCTTT